TATTTCGGAATGAAATAGAGGCAAGAACACGAAGAACAACTAAATTAGAGACCCCTAATACTCTCCATTTCGGATTCCTTCTTCTTCCACGAAGGACACGGATCAAACACGATCCTTTCTCCAAAAACCCCTAAACCGAAATAGGGTTTCAAAAAAATAGGAACAATACGCTAACTTCGAAAGCACACAGAGAACGGAGATTACATCAAAATCAGGATTGGAAACCTGATCTGAAAACTAGATAGAGAGATATAACCAACGGTATGAGGATCATCTTCTCAATCCTTCTGGATGATAATCCTCCCTCGAAGTTGACTGATCGCAGTCCCGAAACTGCACAAACCTCCACAGTAAAACAACGATAACTCCTACAATACACATGCGATTGACAAACCGTTTCCCCTATATCAAGATCCGAGAGTGGAGAACTTAACCTGAAAGTTTGGCTCCAATCCGATCTGTTCTTACTGGCCGTTACTCTCATCTTCTAAAACCGGACAGAACTGCCTCCAAAGCTTTAAGAAACAAGAACACACGAGGATCTTTTTCTCTTCTCTCTGGAACTCTCTGGAAACCAAAAAATCACTAAAAAGTTCTGGAAAACGCGGCCCCTTTTATAACGAAGCCCTAGGGTTTTACCTTAACCCAAACCGCCAAACGGGCGATTAAATCGAACCAACCGGTTCAAATCAACCATCCAAAATTTTCAATTTTGGTTCATGGGCGTTACGTCACTAATGTAAAATTTTACCACTATTGTGGATCAAACGTCTATGTCTTCTACCCTAATAGACTCAACTATCATAAGTGAAAATACGCGTGATGGGTAAGATTCGATTGTTTACTAAACTCCTTAACTAACCTATCAAATTGTTAAGACGCCTAGCTCATCAAATACTAAGTCCGGAGATATAACAAGTTTTTGCAGAGTATATCAACCTAATATCAGTCCCTGGGTAACTAAGCTAGTTCATGCCTTGATGAAGAATCAATTCTAGAATAAAACTCTAAACGATTAAATATGTGATAACATAGAATTTAGAAAGTGCATAGAAATCAAGTCAAAGCTAGTACTCTAACATGTTTTGGAACACGTTGCAGCAAGAATGAAGCACATAAACATATTATTAATCGTTGATCTATCAAGAGTAAGGGATTAAATCTCATCTCTTTGCAATAGGGTAAAGTCGAACTACCCTTAAAGGCTTTTAGAATCAAATATGCATTAAGAACAAGAGAAAAAATCAAAAATACATGTTTAGGTATTGATTTAGGCAGTTTTGGCCAGCCACTTATCTTCCTAGAGAGGCAAAAACAAGTATACATGGTTTAGTTTAGGGCAAAAGAGTGTTTTCGGTCAAAACGGCTCAACCACCGGTCCAACCAACGGTCGGTTTGGGTGACCGGTGTTGAAGTCTTCCTTGAGGTTTCAAGAACGTCAGAAACGGTTTGGATCATTGGCCCATGGAGTGGCCCTGTGCTAGGCTTGATTCTGCACTCACTTCACTTCTAAGGCAATTTGACATGTCTTCAGTGTTTCCAGTGTATCTTCCAAATTACAGCTCTAATGGATGTAATTCCAACTCCATTAGAAATCTAACTCAGAGGAATATCTTTCCACCAAGTTTTATTAGATTCCAAGTTGATTTGATTATCCGTTCCTCAGTGAACTTCTGGCGTATACGTTCTGTCCAACTTGAGAATATGCTTTATCTTCAAGATATAATGACTTGGCTTAGCTCCTTTGACATGAATATGTCACTGTATCATAGATAACACTCTTTTTGCTCCTTTTTGAATTCTTTTGATGGTTAAACCTGTTAAGACCTTAAAATCTACATATACAAGAAAACTACTTCTTTTGCTTGAAAAGATAAAATACATAGAAAACATAGTAAAATATATAGTAAAACTAGTAAAATATGGGACATATCA